ATGTTTTACAAGTATATTATGAGGTATTACGAGATACTTGTGCGAGTTTTTATAGCATAAGTGCTTTTTTGTAAGCTATACGATAGTACAACTTAATATTTCTACTTATAGCGGTAGTGGTATGTTAAAAGGAATGGATTGCCAACTTGAGAAGTCATGGGGTCAAATCCAACATTCAACTACATTGCATTCTAAGCATTATACGCTTACTTGGATTTTTTTACGATAATATTAGTAACTAGCTGGCCCGGCAGACGTTATTCTGCCCTTTGTGGTTGGTAGCGCGATGAGTTTCATTTTCACACACACACAAACGCTTTCCTATAGATTTATCATACGGGTACCTAAATCTTCTTTAGGACTAATAGAACCACAGCAGACATAACGACAATAAACTTTGAAAAAATAAAGATAAATATAACCCTTTTTTACTCTTTTGTAAGCGGATATAAAGTTGCCTACATGTTACACACACTACACAGTCACTTACCGTCTACATACAAAATTTCATGGAAATTCGTTTGGTAGTTTTTGCGTGAATTGTGAACACACAATTTTCTACTGATTTATTATATGTATAGATGTTGATAGCGTTAAAAGTATTATTTTTATAAAGAAATGTTGCTCCTATTATTCATTACAAATATGGTGGATTTGCCCTAATCGACACGGTTGATGTTATGTTGTTTTTCAAGGTGTCTAGTATTTTCTCCTGTATCGTGGTGACATACATATTTTGCACAAGGACAATCATCCAAACCCAGTAAAATTACTTGTAGGCTTTATTCTATATACGCACTTGTTCCGTGCGGGAATCGAACCCGCGACCCTTAGCGCCGCAACTCAATGCTAAGCCTCTACGCTACGGAGCCGTCAAATCTGGTTATATTATCTGGTTGCTTACCGTCGTCTATCTGTGTTTAAGGCTTAGACGAATTTTAAGTCGGGCCACACGACTTTCCAGGCACGTTCCTTGCAATTCATATTTTTGTGTTTTAAGGGCGTAACAAAAACAAAAATTTACTTACAGAATTATATATTTATGATACCCATGATTCGAGTATTAGGCCCGCCACATACATACGGAATTCTGTTTTGGGGATTCCGTTTAGGAATTCCAATTCGGGATTCCGAACGCAGCAAGTTCATATAAAATCTATGACCCGTGACACACGTACGGTAGTTTTCCTTTCGAAATTTTGCGGGCTAAACGGGATTTCGTATGTGTGGCCGAGCCGTTTGGAATTCCGAAACGGAATTCCGTATGTATGTGGTCGACCTTAAGGTACAAATTTCCTAGTTGTGACATATATATTTTTTTTAACTTATTATAAGCCAGTGCTTGACCACAATCCTACCTGGTGGTAAGTGGTGATGCAGCTTTAGATAGTAACTCGCACTGTCTTAGCGTAACAAGAACCTATTCACTCTTGCCTTGAAGACGCCCAGATTGTATTCGGATTTCCGTCCGTCGATAGACGCCGGCAAATTATTCCATTCCTTTGCTGTACGCATTACAAAAGAAGAAGCAAACCTTTCGGTTCTAATGCGTGGAATATCGCCAAGAAAGGGTTGAAGACCCGCCGACCGCCTGGTTGTCCGACGGTGGAAAGGAGAGGAGGAATTAAAGCGTGTAATTCCTGCGCACACTCACTGAAATGCATCCTATAGAATACCGAGAGACTGGCTACTCTGCGCCTGTGCTCGAGGCTGACAAGATTGGTTTCAATCAAATCAAGCTTACCAATAAGCCTCATAGCACGTCTCTCCACTGAGTCCAACGCTGCCAGGTGGCATTTTGCAGAACCAGCCCATATGTGACATCAGTACTCCATGCACGATCGGACTTGCGCTTTATATAAGGTAAGAAGTTGCCCCGGCGTGAAGTACCGCCGCACCCTTGCAAGGACACCAAGTTTCTTCACTTCACTTGGGGCTGCTTTGGCTCTGGACTCAATGAACTGCCCATAGTTCAGGTCAGTGTACTCCAAGGATACATGCCGGAAAGGAGGAGCCAAGGTGAGCGGGCTTCTTTTAGCGGTGAAAAGACACGCTTGTTTTTTGAGGCGTTAAATCTCACGAGATTGACGTGTAGTGTGAGATTCACACGCTCAACCATAGCCTCTCTTTCTCACTGGATTTGGACATTTCTGGGACAACCCGGAGGGACCGTTCACTCAGAAAGTCCTTCACCTAGACAATCAGGCCAGGGGATAAGCCGTACGCTGAAAGCCAATAGACTAGCGTGCCAAACCCTGTCAAAGGCCTTCGAAACATCGAGGGAAACAGCAAGTGCTTCACCCCTGTTCTCGAGGGCTTCGCCCCATATGTGAGTGGCATACGCTAGAAGGTCCCCACTCTCCAGTTGATCGATTTCGGCGAAAACCGTACTGGCGATCACTGACGAGATCATTTTGCTCTAGGTATGCCATGAGGTGGGCGTTCAATATACGCTCCTCCGCAGGATTATGGATATCTTGCAGAGTATGGAGGTAATTGAAATTGGCCGATAGTTGGCAGGGTCGGTACGGCTACCTTTTTTAGGCACAGGCTGCACATTGGCCAGCTTCCAAGATTAGGGCACTATTCCAGTCCTGAATGAGAGGCGGAACAAGCGTGTCAACACAGGAGACAACTCAGGTGCACAGACCTGAATGTGATGAGAGATGAAAGATTATTTCGAATCTTATTATTACAAATAAGAACTACGAGCGAGCCAAAAACGCCGTTAGTCAATTCTCACGATAAATTTGGGACCAAAATGAATGACCATCTATATAATTCTTCTGTCCGTGTGACTGAACTTCTCCTAAATGGCTGGGCCGATTTTGATTAATTTTGAGTGTATATGATTCGAGAATATTTTAGATTCACGATTGGACCCGGTAAGTCTGTCGAAAATCCAGAAATCACCCGTGCGAAGCCGGGGCGAATCGCCAGCATGCATATATATTATATTACCTACAGCGCACAGTGTCACATCATGGTGTCACCATTTAAAGTAATCAAGGACTTCATCTACATAATAGTGTATGTACATCGTATTATGCCTTGCGTCTCCGGCGCGTCAAAACAAGGTACTATGATCGTAGCAATAAGAACTATATAATTGCCATAATTATCACCTTCATAACAAATTAACCTCGTTCAAGGATATCTCACAATGTGTAACAAAAGATCTCTGTGATGTTTTCAATTTTATGATGAAGTAACGCTTTAATATAATAATGATTCATTGTGTTCTTTTGTAAAAAAAAAACCAAAAATTAGATAACGTAGTATAGTAATTGATCTTTGTGCTTAATTTCTTCAAGGGTTTGATTATCTTTAGTGATAATAATGATCTGACTAATTTCAGACATCGTGACATCTTTCGAGTATATATGAATTTATCAGGTTATTTTATCTTTTTCACCTACATCAGCCCGCAAAAGATGATGATGGACGTGGTACTCTCTTGGTGAATTGACGATCGCAGTAACGTTTAATGTTTCGTAACTTTAGTAATAGTATTATCCCTCTGGCGCTCAGAATACAGAATGGCGTAAATGAAATTTTATACCATCATCTATACATGATGGTATAATATTTATAAAATTTAGGAAGGCATAAGAAAAATCATTTACATCAATCAACATTTTTTCTAGCACTTTCTATATTCGCCGCTTAATAAAACCATTGAACGAAATGAGTAATAGAATCATGTACGATGCCACCATATGACTTACTTATGTACATATTACGCCACAGTACAAGCGCCAACTCTATCCTAAAAATCGAATGTATCACATAATATTTAAGGTTGTAATTACCTATATTTTATTTTATCAAATATTTTACACTTATTGAGAGAAAAAAATAAAAAATAATTAGTTACTTATTTACGCTTAAAATAATTAAATAATTAAAATACATCATATGACATTAAAGAATGGCTCGGGATGAGGTAGTGGATATTCTTGCACCGCCCACTACACGGTATTTTTATTAACAGTTAATGAATAATTACATTCTTTTGAATAAATTTATTTTATATACTAGCTGTTCCCCGCGACTTCGCCCGCGTGTTAGGGGTTTGTGTTTTTGCGCGGAACCCTAATTATTTTTCTAAAATAAAAGTAGCCTAAGTTACTCCTTATGAAATCAGCTATCTACCAGTGAAAGTCCTGTCAAAATCGGTTCAGCCGTTTCGGAGATTAGCCGGAACGAACGGACAGACAAAAATTTAAAAAAAATTGTATATAAGTATTTACTTTCATATGCATTTAGTAAAAAACTGTAATTTTGACATTACAAACAGACACTTCAATTTTATTTATTTGTATAGATTTTTTTATAATGATATTGCGTTACTTTGAAGTAATTAGATTTTTTGTAAATAGGTGCCGCGTAAAGTCTATTTACTCGTAACTAAGTCCGCATGTAGAAAAATTCTATTTTCTAAACGCATCATGCATATTCTGCTCGCTATAAAACATTACAAATCGTGTGTTCGACATAAAAATTATATTTTTGGCTGTATGTCGTATGATTTTACCAATTGTTTAAATACGTATTACATTGGAGGAGCGCGGTGGAATTTTCCCGCTCTAACATCTGCAAGGCTAAAACGATGAGAGGTAACTTAAGCCCAGCATCAGAGTGGTTATGTGTAGTTACGTAATTTTTTCATTTGCTTATAAAATTTTTTACTTTTTATGCGGTTTTTGTCTGCAGCACAAATGACTCGGCTCGAACGGCTCGGCAGGACTGACTCTCACAGAATAGCAGCGTGAAACAGTAGAATAATGCTATGTTTGTTATGGTTAGCGTAGAGAACCGAAGACCCTTTTTACCGGTAACGAAGTATTCCATGTAAATCCTCAGGGGTAACAACGCATCTGCATTTAGATTCATCGAGGATAAACATGAGCGCAGCATCCACTTACCATCAGGTGCTCACTTGTTACCCTTATTCTATAAAAAGAAAACTATGTAAATTTTGTAGTTAAAATACTTACGTCTTCCGTTAAAGGAGCAATCTTGACGTCGTAGATGTCCACTTCGCACAAGAAATTTTTCGAGATGGGTGATATCGTGACTAAGCTCCCGGAATACAAACACTCCAGTTTCAAATAATAATAATATTTTCTCAGCTCACTGACACTGATTTGCAAAGTGACAATAAAACGTACTTAATAGTTTTTGTCGGACGTGAGTTGATTTTATTTATTGTTTCTTTTTGGCTATAAAAAAATTTAAGGTTGTATGATTTAAGACCTTCGCTTGCCTTTAAAAGCGAAACAAAACAAAATCGTATGACAGTAAATTTTACAGATAATGTATTTGATTACGTCTGTTTCGATGGCGCGAAAATTTATTAAATTTATTACTATTTATTTTTATTTGAAGAAAATGTATGTTTGCACAGTACAGGTCTGTAGCTAGTGATAGGGAGTCGTTACTATTACAAATTCTACAGCACCAATGAATCATGATCAAGATGTCTCATATCACATGGGATATCGCGTTTAACCTCCGACATCTCTAATTTGACACTTGCATTGACCCCTAATTTTGTAATTTAGTTACGACTGTTCATTTTGTCCTTATTTATCTTGTGGAGAATCGTAATTTCTTATGGGTTTCATCAGCATTCAGTTATTAATTGTTATTATGAATATTTATGACTTTTTATAATTCTATATAACTTTTTCCAAATATTAAATTATTTTTATATAATACAAAATATAATATAAATATTGTAGTATAATATTTTGTATATCAAAATTCACTTATATAACCCATTTTATGAAACACATTTTGCTGTAAGATTGGGGTAAGTTTTTTTATATGTATATTATATCTCATATTAGTCTGAAAACACTATAGTACGTGAGGGTAATATGGTCACTTTCTTATAACTCAAAAACTACAGCCTTGTTTGCATAGATGGCTCAATTATTCGATGAAATAATAAAAGGTCAAATCGCTGCTTCGATGCTATTTTGATAGTTGACATTATAGTAAATACATATTTTAATCGATTTTAGTATTGCGTTGTGTAGTTAGTTTTTTCTAAGTTGATTTTGGAAGTGTTCCTGAGTATTACCAAAGCTTGTTTGCTATTTTTTTCTTAATGTATTAGTTATAGTATATGACGTTGTGTATTTATCTGTATCCTCCTCCTAGTTTTAGTTTTATATGGTAGTTAAGCTTAAGGTGACCATATTATACTCACGTACCTTACTGCTAAACAACCAGAGAAACCAGTAATGTATGTAAAACCAAAGTATTTTTACAAGGGGTGTTCAAATATAAACAAAAAGTAAATTGAGAATATTAAGAATAGAATCAGAAGAAAGTATATTTATACGTGGTAGAGCTAATTAAGCTGCAGCTAATTAATAGTATAGTTATAGTACGAATGAGTCGACTCGACCGGGGAAGGATCACGCTCTTACAGTATACCAGCATAAAATAGCAGCTATCTTAGTCCTCACGGCTGACAACGCATTTAATTCGCAAATGAAGATAGATGTAGATGTCTATGGGCCTCAGCAACAGGTGGACTACCATCAGGTGGACTGTGTGCTCATTTGTCACCCTTATTCTATAAGAAAAAAGAAGTCATTAAAGTTAAAGAATTACTATAATCTTTTTTTTGGTTAGGTACTTCTTAAATTGGAAATTGAATTTTTTTAATTATAAAAATTTATTGTATACCATAAAATTTATTCTTGTTTCACAATTTTTAATAATTTTTTTAGGTATATTGAGTTAATCAAATAAATAATTTTAGTATTTATTTGTTTATTTCAATATAATAACATTCACTGTTCAAAATATTTTTTTATATTAAAATATTTAAATCTACGTTCTTAATTAAAATAAAATAAGGTGGGGATGAAAACTTTTGTTTACGAGAGCTGTTTTGATGCAATCTATAGAGTTCAACATATTCATTACTTTACTGTAGATTTATGAGCAGTAGCATATAATAAAAATATTAAAATATATAACGTATATTTAAAGAGCAAGATTTCGTCACAATTAGCAGATTTTTTTTTCATTTAAAAATGCAACAGACTCCATATTTTAGTGTCATTTTAAAAAGAAAATATAAATACAATTTCGACAGTGCGTCTGACTGGCAGTAACTTCGATTCTTTTATTTCGACTATTTTGACTTAAACACTTAAATTAAAATGTAACTTAAAACTAAAGTTTACATTTCCTTCGTGAAGTGCATTACAGCTAAAACGGTATCTAATAAGTAGACTGCTCCCTGGATGACGCAGAGAGCACCGACCGCCAGGCCAACCTAGAACACAAGGTAGAAGTAAGGTTTAATTGAGGCCACGAAAGAAACTACTGATATATCTAATTTAGAGCATACGCGAACCGAGGCAACTATACAATTGACACTTTGACCAATGAGGGATATCATCAGTCTTTGCCTATGAATTTTAAAAGTAGTAGGACTAACCTTATGTTCTGTGATACTAATATGAAAGATTCTAATCCACAATTTAAACGTCATAAATTATCTGTATCCTTTTGCCTTACTTATTTAGCAGATATATGGGCCTATTCTTTTTAAGCAATAAAAATGTATATATTACGTAGTTAGTTATCTTTTTTAATTCTATATAGAATTTTTACGTTGGTTTAGCAAACACCTACGCCATACTCTCACCACACTATGGGTGACTGGTAGAGAATTTCTCAAGGCATTCAGCCCGCTCTTTGTATTATTGTGTTATAAGAAATGCAATAAAGAATAAATTAAGTTAAAGTTACAGCCTATATACGTCCCACTGCTGAGCACAGGCCTCCCTCATTTCTGAGAGGGTTCTAGGGCAAGGAAAATGCGTGTTGGCGAAGTTCACTTCAACGAAAATATTTCTTTTTATTTCTCAGATGTGCAGATGTTATCACAATTTTTTTCTTTATCGCCGAGCTCGTAGTAAAACAGCACTTAAATTGCAATTAACAATTTCGTTGGTGCCGGCGGAGATAGAACTCGGGTTGCTGGCGTACTGTGAAATTTACAGCGAGCGCTTAGCCCCCTGAGCTACCAGTAAAGTAATACGGACCTGTCGTTCAGCAAAGACGAATTGATACTGATGCTCCCCTTGGTAGCCACCCCAGTAGTGGAGCGCAACAGCACCCACGGCTATCCACAGGAATACTCCAACGAAGTTCATTACTATGTCACCCAGAGCCCTGTAAATAAATACGTCCACCTCAGCAAACCATCTTCGAATATATTATTATTTTTATATTTTTCATAATGTACATGTTGTGTGTTCTTTCAGTATCTATCAGATCTCTATAATAAACAAAAATATTGATATTTTTTTTTACTTTAAAAAGTGGCTTTCTTCTTTTATTATATTTTTCAACCGACTTCAAAAAGGGGAAAAATACCCAATTCGACTGTATTTTTTTATGTGTGTTACATAAACTTTTTCTCAGTAAACCGATTTTCATGGTTCTTTTTTTTATTTGAAAGTGCTTCTCATGTTATCCAATATAAATTTGATCAAGGTCTGATTAACTTTGAGGTCGGTTGTACAATATTTTTAATTTTACCACTTGTTTTAAATATCTAGCAGATGTTGCAGTGCCACAAAGTTACCGTGTAATGGCGGGTAAGAATATGCACTACCCCATATCATACCGTGGGTGTCGTAAGAGGCGACAGAGGGAAACAAATCAGGAGATGGGCAGCAGTGTTCCTAATAACGACAAAAAATACAAAACTGCCATTGATTGTCGTAAGACGAGAGGCAACTATCGGTAATGTTAAAAAAATCCTATAGCTTCGGACAAACGGCGGTATAAGTAACTCGTTAACCGATACAGCCTATATAAAGTCCACTGTACACGAGTAATTCATTTATAGGGCAATGTATACGCGCTTACAACAAAATCCCAAATAAAATAGGGATACAAACGAGCACACAGTCCATCTGATAATACGTAGATTATCAGATGGAAGATAGAAGTAGCCCATAGACAGAGTCAGAAAATCAAAATGTCACTCCATTTACTAGAGTCCACAGAATTAGTAATTCATTCATGAGGCAATGTATACGCTTTTACAACAAAATCCCAGAACATGTTTAAAGTTTGTCAATAAACAAATTTAAAAGTTTTATTAAAGAAAAACTGTACAAAAAGAGTTATTATAATATCAAGGAATACATGAATGAATATAACCCCTGAGAATAAGGTGATCACTACCATGATGGTTCTATGAAAATTCATTTAAAAATTGTACAAAGAAAATTATTGTTAAGTGAAATATGTTTAAAAAAAAGTCCCGCTGGGTTTCTTGCTGGTTCTTCCCAGGACAGAGGTATTTTCCGAACCAGTGGTATATAAAAAATGACTTTTAATAAGTATTAAGTAATAATCAATATCGAATAAAAAACATTCTATTCTATTCTATACTGCTGAATAAAGTTGCATTTATTGCCTCACAGAGAGAATATTTGCCATAGTTGCCACGCTTGGAATTTTAGTTTTGGTAGGTTTTATAGTTGTTCTTAGGAGGACGCTGCTGTCCTCCTGGTTTGTTTCCCTCTGTCGCCTCTTAAGACATCTACGGGACGTATGACGTAGTGGATATTCTAACACCGCCACTACACGGTCATATCTTGTTTACATAAGGCATAAAATACCCAGACCGGTGGAACTAGCATGGTCAAGGGTGTGTGACGTCTGTGATCTCCAATCTACCTGTTGTTATGACGAGCATTTAAATATTTACGGTGAACATTTAAAGCCTGATAAAGAATAAGGCGAAGTGTATTCGCTAACTTAGCGAACTACAGAGCCATTCAATAAAACTACTTTTATACGGATTTTATCGCGTTTAATAATATTAAATTTTTTCGCGTTTAAAAATAATTTAATTAAACGCGATAAAATCCGTAAAAAAGTAGTTTTATTCAATGTGTAGTGTTCGCGTAAATATAAGAAATCATTACAGAGCCATTAATTCTTGTTGAAATAATTATTCGAGAAATTACCAGTCAATAATATTTACGATGGAAAACAAAGTTACTTCTAAAGAATTTTAAACACAAAGTATAATTATGTATATATTATTTTTCTATAAGCGGTGAAGATCTGAAAAAATACCTGGGGTTCTTCTGGACAATTTTGGTCGAAAATGTGTTAGCAGTATTATTATTAATAGTTTGTAGATTTACAGTCATTAGGAATATTTCGTAAAACCACCTGAGTTTTATCCCCGCCTGTACCACCGACGTTGTTAATCGTGATTTTAATTTCATTTTCATCTTGTGCTCGATTTCAAAGGAAAACATCGTGTGAAAACCTATATGTCTGAGAAATTATAGGTATATTGACGTCATTTCACACTGGAATAGCATGGTGATTCTTTTACGTTCCATAAACTTCTCATAAAAGTAGAACCCTGTCCACAATATTAAAAAAAATCTTCTGAAAA